GGTGACCCAAATGACACTCTCACAGTTGGGGGGCTGGATTCCAGGGTTTATGATAGGGATGTTTGTATCTCCACAAATTTCCTTCTCACATGCCCTACACACTCACTGGGGGAGGCCTCAGGGTCGCCATTGTGCCAAGTGGGGGTCCTGGTGCCCGGGCCATCGGGGGCAACATCATGGGAGGTCCAGGGGGACCAGGCAGGGGAGGCCCAACCAGGGCCTGATGTGGTGGCCGAAGAGCCATGGGGCGTGGGCCACCTGCTAAAGAAAAAGAGAAAGTGTGTGGTGAAGGGGGTCCTTGGGTCTTTGAGGTGCCGGGGACGCCAAAGAGGGGATGGGGCCGGGCCAGGAACATTCCCTGGGCCCTTCTCTCACCCGCTCTCTGCAGCACATGGGGGACGAAGGCTGGGCGCAGGATGGGGGGACGCTGCGGGGGCACTGCTGAGAGACAGACAGAGATGGAGACAGGGCGTGAAGGGCCATGCCTCAGGGTCTTTGAAGGAGGCCTCAGGGGTTCAGGGCTTCAGGGGGTCCTAGGATCACTTGAGACATTTCTCATGGGGTGCTGGGGTCACTGCTGGCACCTCTGAATCAGTCTTTTGAATCTCAGGGAGTCCTGGGATCACTGGGATGTCTGTATGTAGGAGAAGGGAATGGGTATCTAGGGGTTGAGGGCTTGCCAGTATCTTTTAGGGTCCTTTGGGGTCAGGTCTCTGAAGAGGTACCATAGTTAGGAAACTATGCCTGTCTTGAGCAGGCACTGTGGAATTGTCCAGGAGTTCTAAGGGCTCACAAAAAAATCCTGGGGGAAGTCAGGATTTTGTGATTATCCTGGAGGGGCTTCCTGGGTAGGCTTATTTATTGGAAGTTGGGGCGGGTGGGGCAGGAGGCTAGGTATGTGTGTGTGTGTGTGTTAGGGGCAAAGAATGTTGAATCCTAGGCTTTGGGTCCTGGGCACTGACCCGCCCGGCGAAGGAACATGGCATCCCGGGCCTCAGGGCTGTCAAGACGACCTCTATCTCCTCCAGGGCCGAAACCAACTGTGGAGGAGAGAAAAAACTGCATTGGTGGGGTGACCTTCTGGATTCCTCCTTCTTGACCCTCCCTCATACCTCCTTCCCAACTCACCAGGACCTACAAAGGGGCCAGGGGGACCTACAATGGGAGCAATTACTGTGGCTGCTGCTGCTGCCCGGGCCTCCAGGCTCTGCTGGACCTGACCAGGGGGGAGGACAAGAGAAAGTAGTCAGTGAGGGAGCTCAGGTTCCCTCTTTCTTTGGAGCCTGGGCTAACAGACAAGTGGGATAAAGGATAAAAGCTGGTTTGGAATTAATGAACTAGTTGAACAGTAGAGTCCATACACATGAAGGGACACCATACCCCCCTACCTGCTGGTAGGTGTTGGTGGCAATGATTGGGCGGATCACAGGTGCAGGCTCCACAGCTGGTACAACTGGGGCTGGAATACCAGATATTGGAGCCCCCAAGACTTCCTGCTCAAACCTGTGGGGCAGAAATACGAAATGATTCAGACACACAGAAGAATCGCTGGGTTTGGTGCCAGAAGGGATCTGACCCTCTCTCTTCACAGGCTCAGGCAGAAACTTAGGAATGCCAAGACAACTGAGGAAAGACAGAGACTCAGATACAGAGAAGTATGAGGAAGAGAAAAACACATGGGGAGTCAGACAAAGAAAATATTTAGAAAAAACAGCAAATGGGGGGCAAAGACTAAGACCAGGTTGTGGACTCGGAAAGAAAAAAGATTAAAAAAAAATCAGGGCCACACAGGGTCCGAGTCACATCCAGAAAAAAGACACGGGGACAAACACACCAAGAAGAGATAATTAGAGAAAGATACATGCAGAAAGAGAGAGATGGACAGAAAAGACACCAAGCAGGGGCAGAAACCTTCAGAATTAGAGCCGAAGGGAGACACCTAGATGGAAGGTAAGAGATACTCAGAGATAGACCCAGGGAGGTGGAGACAAAGCAGACGCAAGGAACAGACACTCAGAGACTGGACACTCCGGATGAGAGGTGACGAGAGGCGGGGAGACAGGCGGACCCACCCCCGAGGAGGGGCCGGAGGCAGCAGGCAGTGGCGGACCCCCCTTCCCCGCCCATCGTGGGGGCAGGCGGCCTCACTCCCGAGGAGGGGGCCGGAGGCTGCCCGCAGGGGCCCCCTTCCCTGCCCCACCCCCACGAGGTCGCCCCTCCCCGCTCCCGGGCTCCCCGGCACGGAGACAGGGGAACAGCCGCCCCGGCCCCGGGCGCGGCGCGGGGAGGGAGGGGCTCACAGCGCCATCTCCGCCTCCATCTCTTTCAGTCGCTCCTCGCCGCTCTTCCCGGGCACACCGGGCCCTGGGCCCGAGGGCAAGGCTGCGCCCGCGCCCGGGAGTCCCGGGGGCGGCCCTGTCCCAGCCATCGTCGTCGCCACAGCCGCTTCCGCCGCGGCCACCCTCTGCCCGTCTTCGCGGGCGCACGCCGATGACGTATGACGCACGTGCTTAACAGGAACCAACCAGTTCCGCTTTGTGCGGTCCCGGCAGGCGCGCAAGCGCAGTTGCTTCCTCGCCCCCTGAGCCAATGACAGCCCAAGGAACCAGAGGCCACGCCCCCAGCCCGCAACTTTGTTTCCATCGGCCGGCACACTCGTGGGAGGTTTGTTTTTCAGCAGAGAGGGTGGGGACATACCTCTCTGCTGACCCGGGTTCAAGCCCTAGCCCGCCTCTACTGGCCCGAGCGTTACCTGGGCTCGGTCAAATTCCCGCCTCTCAGTTTTTTTCCGCTTGGAAAACGCAGGGACTGCGGTCTGGAAGCCTGAGGGGAGCGGAGCCTTTAAGACCGGTTTTCAAGAAGGCTGGGGGCTGGTGAGCCCTCGGGAGCACCCTCACGGGGGGCAGTAGGAAAGGAGCCAGTTTAAAAGGTGAACCAGCAAAGAGGGAGATGGTTAGCGCAACGACAGAGGTGGTGGAGTCTTTTATTTTTTTGAGATTGGCGAAATTCGAAGAGTGTAAGCAGGTGGGAAGGGACCAAGGAGGGAGCGTAACACTTAGTAGCTGTAAGCATGTGTCGCACACGCCACTAAACCTCGGTGCCTCAGTTTGCTCATCTGTAACATAAAGACAATACACCTGCCTCCCAGGATTGTGGTGACACGAGATGCCTGCTTAATGTTTTGCACGTCTAAGAGCGTTATATAAATACTATTAGCTGCTATTAAACTGAAGGGGGAAGCACTCGTGGAAGATGGGATGGCACGGAGATCACCTTTGCTAGGGTATGCGAGGAAAACGCTCTTTTCAAGGGAGAAATAGGCAATGACAGGGGCTAGTTGAGGTCAGACACAGCACTCTCCCCGATCCCTGGGCGGAGGCAGACTGGCTGGGCACAGTCCCTCCCCACCCCCAGGAGCACCAGGATACCGCCCATTCCCATTCTGTGCAAGCTCCATCAGTGGAATACGGGGCGTGCCACAGCTGGGTCTTTGCTAGAGCCTCGGAGGAAACACTTAGTGAAGGTTTGTTGGTTGGTAGCAGAGGAGCCCGGATTCCCGAGGGGGGAGAGGGGGTGAAAACCTTTACGACAGAGAGAGACTTTGGGACGGGGACTGACGGCTTGAGGTCAGCCTCTGCTCCCACCTCTCCAAACCTAGAAGAGGGACCCACCTTGGGGACTATCTGGTCCAGTCCCAGAGGCCCCAGAAATGGGAGGTGATTTGCTTCAGGTCATTCAACTCTTATTAACCGGAACAGAAGAATAATAAAACGGAGCCCAAATCCCACACGCTGAAAGAACCTTAGAGACCACTTTGTCCTGCCTTTGAAAGGCAAGGAACAGAGCCTCAGACCTGGGGTCAAGGATGGACTGGGAGTCAGGAGGGGGTTCTGGTGTCTGATTTTTCAGCCAGGACGTTGGAACTGAAGTTTCCTGAGGAATGGGGAAACCAGACCTTCCTGAGCAGAGGTCCTTGGTCACATGACTGGGGTGGGGCAGAGAATGGCAGCCCTGGGGTGTTTCCATTTTCATCCTGCCCCCAAGCTCGTCCACGCCGCCCCCAAACGCGTCCCGCCACCCCCAGCTTGGATCTGTGGGGAAGTTTAAGTGGCTTGGGAGGGCACGGCTTTGATAGCAAAGGGCTGGGGCTGGAGGGGCAGCAGCATCGTCTCCCAGAGGACATCGGCTCTCCAGCAGGAGCTCAGGGTCCGGCTCCTTCCCTGCCTTGCCTCCACGTCCCAGTAAATACACTGCTACTCTCCTAAGGAAGACCTTGATGAGAAAATGGTGACTGAGTACCTCACGGTCTGGGGAAGCATTTCCTCTTTCTGGGGGACTCTGACCTCTACAGGGATTCAGGATCCCTGAAGCATCTCCCATGATCCACTTAACATATCCTACACATTGAAGCAGGCCCTCCTGCTCAGACCTTGAATACTGCAAAAGACGCCAGGCAGGCTAAAATTTCATGAGAAAAGGGTCCCCAGGAAGATGTGGCCCTCCACTAGGAGTATAGATGCTACTGTATTCCCCCTAGGGAAGGGCCCCCGACAGCCCTGGCCAAACCTGGGTAGAGGGAGGTGCCCTGCCCAGTCTGCTGCCAGTCCCTGGGGTGCCCCCTCCCCATGTCATGAGGGAGCCAAGGGCACCCTGAGGGTCCCAGTGTGGAGACCAGCTGTAGGTGGTGGCCAGGTTTCCTTCAGTGCCCAGGGATGGACCCTTAGGCCAGGCCAGGGCCCAGTCTCCGTCCAAAGAACCCCCACAGTGGGGGCTTTCACTGTCTACTCCCAACCTCATCACCTGGTCCACCTGCCACAGATCTGCTCCCCCTTCCTTGAAGTATCTCAAGCCTATGGTTTCCTATCCTGGAACTATCCCCCAGGTGGGCAACACTGCCCCGGGGAAACCCTGACTGCTTCCTCTCCTTTCAGCTGAGTGAACAGGCCAAGGACTGGAGAAGTTGGAGGGTCAGAGGTTAAAGGCACAGAGAAAAGCCCTGATCCTGAAATCTTTAGGCACTTTACTGGGAGTTTTATCAGTGAAAGGACGGATCCAATTCTATTCACGTCTCTGTGCTTCTGCTCCAAACCTCACTGTTCAGGCTCTCCGCCCCTGGGCCCGGGCCCAGCGAAGCTTCCACTGCTGTAGGGAGAGGCCGTCCTGGTCCTGGAGCTCTCCAGGGAGGGCGTTCTGCCCTGGCTGGTCCCACCTTGGGGGCAAGGCAGCGGGGTCTTGACGTAGGTCCCTGGGGGTCCCGGATCTTCCTCCCAGCCCAGCCCTGGAGCACCCCCTTTCTCAGCTCTCCTCAGCCCCGCTTGTCGGCTCCCACCCCAGGTCCCTCGGCCCCGGGGCTGCGCCTCTCACCAGTCCCCTACGGCCTTCAGAAGCTGGGGGATACGGTCCAGTCCCCGCTCCATCAGCTCCTCGAGGCGATGCAGGATGGGGCCCAGATGCTGTTGCTGCTTCTTCTCCTCAGACTCCTGGATCTGAAGCAGTTCTAGGGGGAGGGGAGGAATGCAACATGACTCATTGAGTGTCCATTAAATGCCTCTGCTGGGCAGGAGCACGTTCGGTGGTGGGATTTTAACATGCATGTCCAGTCCCCATCCTCAAGGATTTTTTTCAGTCTAAAAGGGGGAAAGGTCTTGCACAGAAACAAGTATGCTAATAAGGGAGAGTGAAAGGTTAGAAAATAGAATAAGACACGTGATGTTTTAGGAAAATGTGAGAAAGTGGATAACTTTCATCTGGGGAAGCTGCTTCAGGTTATACAAAGGAGACGTGAACTGAGATGAAGATGAGGGACAGTCTTTTCATGGCCTGAACAAATAAATGCACAGGCACAGGAGAGAGCGTGAGGAAGTCAGATTTGGCCAGCATCATCAAATTTAACCTTCCATGGAGCCAAGAAGTCCAAGATGTCTTCTGGGTCACAGCATTTCAGACACTTAATTATTTCAAGGCGTCCTCCTCCAGGTTAATCTGATCTTTCTTTGTTGAGGTCTGGGCATTTTCAAAGCGGCATGTGTGGAGGGCACTGCATGGGCCATTTTTTCCCCATGAACCTTCACGTTCTCTCCTTGACCTCAAACATCCACCCAGTGCTGGGTCCTGGGCATTGTGCCTCTACACTATCCATGTATCCATTTCGGCTGCCAAGAGATGGCCATGTGGCAGAAGACGACGGTGCAGAGATCGGCAAAGTGATCTGTATGGAGATCGTCCATATGGAGGCCTATCCACTCTGGACACCTATGTCAGCAAAAACCTGAAATCCACACCAGATTGAATAATGACCAAGAAATTGACTGAAAACTACAATAAGTGGTTCCTTCCACCCCAGAACTGCACCAGAAGCCTTAAGTCCAGAGGCCATAGGAAAAGGGCCCACAGCAAATGGCAAAGCAAGCAAGACTCCTAGCACAACCAGAAAAGGGTCAGGGCCAAGGGCAGCCTCCAGGCAGCAGTTCTGTAAAAGCCCCCCCTCAAAGCCCCCAAACAGGAAGGGCCCTGGGGTCCCTGTCCTGACTTGCCAGAGAGGGCCTTGAAGAGCCAGAAGAGCAGAGGGCTTTGGAAGGAGGAGGCTGGGGTGGGAACCCAGATAAACCAGGGTCAGACTAGGCAGGGCCAAACCCACCGGCCACAAGTGCAAAGCTGGGGCGGTGAGTATCCTGACCCCCACAGAGCTCCAATTCAGGAGCTGAAGCTGCAGAGATGAAAAAACAAAACAAAACAAAACAAAAAACAAAGAAAACACCAACTAGTATCACAGTCTAGGAATCCAGCCAGAAGAAAGAGAGAATAACTCTGTTAACAGCTGCAGGTGAAGACTCAAAGAAAAACAATGGATTTTTCTATAAGGACAACCTGAATAACTAGAAAGATAAAAAAAAAGAAATAAAAGCTCTTGAAGAAAGAATAAATAAATAATAGCTTAGAAGAGAAAGAAGTAAATCTTACATTTGAAAACCAGAGGAGTCCAAAAGAAATTCATGACTCTATGAAACAGTAAGAAGTATCAGAACAAGACTAAAAGGTTAAAAAAAGAAAATGTGGATATCAGATATCACAAACAACCACCGGCTTGAAGAACAGATCCAAGACAGATAACTTAAGAATCATCGTACTCTCTGAAAACCAGGATGGATTTAAAAGGGAAAAAAAAACCGCCTGGACACAATATTTCAGGAAATCACAAGTGAAAACTGCTCCGCTCTATGAGAACCAGGGGGCAAAGCAAAAGTATAAAGAAGCCCCGAAGCATCTCCTGAAAGGAATCCCCCAAAAAGAATGTCCCACATCAAAGAAAAACTACTGCTGGTATGCCAAAGGAGGCAGTCCATGCAGACCAAGATACCACAATCAGGATCACGTAAGACCACAGAACAAAAGGAGATCTGGGAGTACGGTACTTCTAAAGTCAAGAGAGAGAGACAGGCTTACAACTAAGAATAATTCACCTAGCAAAGCTGAATATAATCCTACAGGGGAAAAAAATGGATTTTTAATGGAACAGAACTTTGCAGCATTTTTGTGGTAAGGACCAGAGCTGAGTAGGAACTCTGGCATACAAACACGAGAGAGCAGAAAAACCTGGGAAGGTAAATGTATTGGAGGCCTCAAAAGGGGCCGTATGAGATGATGCTAACATTCTAAAGGGGAAAAGAAACAAATGTTCTTTCAGGCCTGAAGTTCATCAAAGGGAGTTAGATAAAAACAGAGGGCCTGGGGAAGAACTGGTCCTGCTCTAAGGGAGGAGAAAAAGAAGGCAGAGCCCAGTGCAGATGAGGGAGGAAAAAGTGGGGGCTGCTGCTTCTCATGATTGGGGTGGAACATGGTGGGAGGGGTGAGGAAGCAGCGGCAGATGAAACTCATTTCTACCAGAGGTGGACGGAGGAGGGTTGAACATACACACTTTGGTGTGGAAGTACTCCTGACTCAAGAGGGGAGCAAGTGGGGATGAGGGCAGGGGGATGGGATGAAAGGGAACATGATGGTGGGGGGGGGGTTTGTTCTGTAAGCAAAACAAACTTCCTGACGCTGAAGGGGAGGAAACAGGAAACAAGGAAGAGAATCAAGAGGGGCCCACTCACTGGAGAGCAGCCGGACAAACTGTGGCCTGTCAGTAGAAGGAACTATGGCTGTGCTGTAAAAACTGATGGACGAGAGGATCACAGGAATCCTGGGCAGCGTGAACCGACCAGAACCAGAGAGCAGTTTGCACAAGGTCTGTCAGAACAATGGCTGGCTAACGGCGTCCGTGGAAGGCCTAACCCAGCTCCTGGCGGGGAGGAGACGAGTCAGGGTGCAGAAAGACCGGGACATTTCTGGAAGCGGCCACATGGGCTGGATTCGTTCTGCTTGACGATGCTTCTTTTTCACAAGGTTGGTTTGTTTTAATTGTGTGGGACTGGGAGAGGGAGAGAGGGAGAAAGGGTGATCAATACTGATTTTCCCCAAAGAGGGATTTTTTTAATCATGCATAGAAAAGAACAGAAGGAAGTTCATAGGGAAACAGATCAAATGTAGGAGCGTTTTGAAAGTCAGGTAGTGGCCTGAAATAGAGGGTCACAGTTTCAGAAACTGTGTGTGTGTGTGCGTGTGTGCTCTTTTTTGGGGTGTTTAATTTCAAAAATTTTTAAAAAGAAAAAAAAGGTTGATTGAAAGAGATTTGGACTCGAATTCCAGAAACTGAATTTTGGGAGGAAAAGTGTGGGAGAACTTGGAGCAGAGGAGAAAAAGATCAAGGAAAAAGGACCTGAAGATTCAAGGGGGAGGAGGAGGAAGGAAGTGATGGCACGACGAAGGGTCAGAGGGCAAGACACAAGTCAAACAAATGGGGAAGCAAAGGGGAAAGTGAGAGAAGGAAACAAGACACAACAGAGAAGGTTAAAGGGATAAAGAGGTGAACAAGAGGAGACCATCCACAGACAGGCTGAAAGACAAAGACAAGCTTGGTCAAGGGGGCTGAGGCCGACCCCGCGCCTGCAGCGCCTGGATCTCTGAAAGGGGCAAGTTCCTCGGTTCACACTGAAGGCGGGTCGGGCTGTCTCCCAGAACAAGAGGGTAAAGGTGAAAATCAAGGAAGTCCTCTGGGTCTCACCTCTTGATAAGAGGCAAACTGCAGTTTTGGTAATGCCCAGAGAGCTAAAAGCAGGGTGATACCTGTAAATAACATTTTATTGTATTTATAAACGTAAAAACCTGTTCTTAGCTACAGGTAGGGCAGCTGGCCAGCTCCAGCTCATGTTCATTGGGAATGACCGAGTGTCCCAATCGCCAGTCCAGTGGTCAATCCTGATGGTCTGCTCTGCTGCAGACCTCGCCGACCACCCCTTTTTCTCCTAGTAACATGAGTTTATTGTTTCTATGCAGAAGACTTTCCCTGACATTTCAACCTCACATCACCAGCCATCTATGGGACGCCTCAAATTGGACGTTGGGAGGCACCTCAAACTTAACGTGTACAAAACAGAATCTGACATTCTTTCTTTGCTAACCTCGTCCTGTTCTGGTTCATAACCTCAGCATTATTCTTGATCCTCCCTCCCTCTCTCTTCCTGAATCCCATCAGCTGCTGAAACCCCTCTTTCCATATCCATGACATTTCTTGCATTCAGTCAGATCACCATCACCTCTCACCTCGAGTCTCTCCCCACCCCACCCCTTTCTCCCAAAGTGACTTTCCAACCTTGCTTGAGCTCTTCCCCAAACTCCTCCAAATACCTGTAAAAAAAAAAATGGTTCTAAACCAAAGTGACTTTCCTTAAGAGAAGACCTGACTATGTTCCTGTCCTACTCAAACGCCAAATGGTTCCCCCTGCTGCCTCCAGAATCAAATAAAAAGTCCTTGGTTTGGTTTCAAAGTCTTTTCCAACATGGCCACAGTCTCTCTCACTTCACTTTTCTTCTTGTACTCTCTGGTCCAGCCAGCCCTCTGTTTGTTCCTGACACATGGCCCTCATCTCCCACCTCAGCACCTTTGCCCCACAGACTCCCTGACTCCCTCTCTTCCTTCAAAACTCGGCTCTGGCACCATATTCTACAAGGAAGCCTTTCCTGCTTCCTCTGACTGCAGTGCCCTCCCTTCCAAACCACTTTGTCAGAGACACACACACACACACACACCCCTACTGTATATACATGTTGTCTCCTTGAATAGACTGTGATTTTCTTGACAGTAGGGATTACGTCATTCTTTTATTTGTGCCCCTGGCACCAGGCAGGTGTTTACCAAATGAGATCACACAGTAAGGGTTAGAGGAAGAGGTGTGCAGTGGAGGTGCTTGGGAACTCCTTGCTGAGGGCTGGTGAGGATGATAACAAAAGAGAGGTAGGTCTATTGTCTCCCAGAGGCATGTTTTGGCAGAGAACCTCCTAAGACGTGTCAAAACAGATGAGTAACTACCAGTTGAGGTGATTCACATGGCCACAAATGATACTGCTAGAAAACCTTGCCAAAAGTTACTCAAGCTTGGGCGAGAAACCGAAGACCCAAAGGCTATAGGTGATGATTACATCACTGAAATCCAAAGAAGGCAAAGGATGAAGAAGAACACTATGGATGTGGAAAGTAAACCGAAGGCTCAGAAGAGGGGGTGTTTGAGGAGGATGTTTGGATTTCTAAACCACAGCTTTAAACTATGACCAGGGACGGAGGGCATCTCGGAAGAATGGATTTGCCCTGGAGGATGGAGCCAAGAAGGTGGAGGGAACCATGCATTTCTGAGGAGCTCTCCCAACCCAACCCTCTAAAATAATTTAAAAACCTGTCAAATCAACCCAATGATAGCACTTCTAGGGCTGTATCCCAAAGAGATCCTACAAATGGGAAAAGGACCCACATGGACAAAAATATTTACAGCAGCTCTTTGTGTGGTGGCCAAGAATTGGAAATTGAGGGCATGCCCATGAATTGGGGAATGGCTGAACAAGTTGCGGTATATGAATATAATGCAATACTATTGTGGTATAAGAAATGATGAGCAGGCTGACTTCTGAAAAACCTGGAAAGACCTACATGAACTGATGCTGAGTGAAATGAGCAGAACCAGGAGAACATTGTACACAGTAACAGCCACACTGTGTGATGACTGACTTTGATAGACTTAGCCCTTCTCAGCAATGCAAGGATCTAAGACATCTCCAAAGGTCTCATGATGGAAAATGCTATCCACATCCAAAGAAAGAACTATGGAGTTTGAATGCAGATCAAAGCATACTATTTGCTCTTTTTTTTGTTTTGTTTTGTTTCTTCTTTCTTGTGGCTCCTCCCATTGGTTCTAATTCTTCTTTACGACATGACTAATGTGAAAATATATTTAATAAAAATGTATATGTAGCGCCTGTTTCAGATTGCACACCATCTTGGGGAGGGAGGTGGAGAAAATTTAAACCTTAAAAGCTTATGGAAGTGAATGCTGAAAACTAAAAATAAATAAACGAATTAAAAAAAAAAAAAACTTGTCAAATAAAATTCTGAGGTAACCAAAATGGAATCAGAACGACTCATTTTCCAGTCCAAGACAGTTTAAGTAGACAGAGAGGTCAGCGGACACTGTGGAGGGGACTGGCTGAGGGTGCAGCCTGGGGAGCAGCACAGGCTGTAGGCCACGGAGGGTCCGGAGGCAGCAGCTGCTTTAGTGGCAGCACGAGGAGGCGAAATACCTAGACAGAAAGAGATCAGAGGGGATGGACCC